GACAAAAATAACACACACACACACACACACACACACACACACACACACACACACACCCCATAAACCTTACCATCTTACACATTTTTTGGGAGTACTGGGGATTAAACTTGGGCCCTTGAGTTTGCGAGGCAGGCAGCAGAACCACTGAGCTGAATCTCTGGCCTCCCATCTTACATATTTTTAAGTGTACACCTCAGTAATGTTAAGTGTATTTTCATATTGATGTAAAACAGGTCTCTAGAACTCTTTCATCTTGCAAAATGGAAAATCTTAGCCAGGTGTGGTGGCACATGCCTGTAATCCCAGCACTAAGCAGATTGAGGCAAGAAGATCACCATGAGTTTAAGGCCAGGTGGGCTACACAGCAAGACCCTGTCTAAAAAAAAAAAAAAAAAGAAAAAAAAAAGGGAGACTCTGTATCCATTGAACAACTCCCTTTCTCCCTCTCTCCAGCCCCTGGTAACTACCATTTTACTTTATCTTTATGAATTTATCTACTTTAGATATCTCATATAAGTGGAACCATCCAGTCTATATTTTTTTGTTTTATTTTTTGAGACAGCATCTCCCTTTGTAGTCCAGGCTGGCCTCAAACTGAAAATGATCCTCCTGCTTCAGCCTCCTGAGTGCTGAGATTACAGGCATGTGCCACTGTGCCTGGCCAGTCTGTCTTTTTTTTTTTTTTTTTTTTTTTTTTTTTTGTACCAGGGATTAAATTCAGGTCCTTGTGATTCCAAGGCAGGCAGCAGCACCACTGAGCCAAGTGCCTGGCCCCAGTCTGTCTTTTTTGACTCACTTATTTCACGTAACATTATGTTGTATGTCTTTTAGTTTGTAACAATATTTCCTTCCTTTTAAGGCTGAACAGTATTCCACCATGTGTATATACTACATTTTATTTAATCAACTATCAATAGATGTTCAGTTTACTTTCACCTCTTGGCTATTGTGACTAAAACTGCTGCTTCAAGATCCTATTTTCAGAGCCGGGGATTTAGCTCAGTGGTTCCACAGCCTGCCTCAAAAGCTTAACGTCCCGAGTTCAATCCCCAGCACCAAAAAAAAAAATCCTATTTTTTGTTCTTCCTGTTATGTTCCCAGAAGTGAGATTACTGGATCATACGGTAGCTCTATTTTTAATTTTCTGAGGGTCCTCCATAGTGTTTTGTGTAATGATTGCATCATTCTGCGGTCCCACCAAAGGTACACAATAGTTCTAATTTCTCCAAATTCTCACCAACACTTATTTTCTTTATTAATAGTAGCCATCTCAGTGGGTGTGATGACAAAGGAAATTTTATGGTAATAAATGGGTCAACCAGCAGTAAAATGCAACAATAAATTTTTACACGCTCAATCATACTGAAGCCCAAAATACATGAAGCAAAAATGAATAGAACTAAAGGCAGAAGTAGAGAATTCAATACTAACAGTTAGAGACTTAAACAGCCCACTCTCTTTTTTATCTTTAGACAGGGTTTCACCATGTAGTTCAAGCTGACTTGAACTCACTACGTATCCCAGGCTGCCTTGAACTGGCAGCAATCCTCCTGTCTCAGCCTCCTGAGTACTGGGATTACAGGCATGCGCCACCATGCCTGGCTGCCTACTCTCTTTTGGGGGGAAAGATGCTATTTTTTTACTTTTGGTACTGGGAATCGTACTTGTGTCCTTACTTACCAGCAGGCGGTGGAACCACTGAGTTAAATCCCTAGCCCTTGCCTACTCTCTTTTTAAAGAAGATTTTGCAAGTGTATGACTGCAGTATGTAATGGTTACATTTATCATAGAAAATTGGCATGCCTAGATAATACATATTAATTATTTTTATGTTCCCTTCCCCCCTTTTTTTCTGCCTCTCTCCATCTTTAACACCCTACTCTCAATAATGAAGAGAACAAATAGGCAGAATATGAGGAAAGAAACAGGACACTTGAATAACACTGAAAATCAACTAGCCCTGAGACATCAACAGAACATGACTCAATCTCAGAAGCCTTCACGGTCTTCTTAAGCGTGCATGAGAAACTGTCCAGAATAAACTGCGCTAGCCCGGGATGTAGGTGGCACTGTACTTGCCTGGCAAGTTCAAGGTCCTAAGTTTGATCCCTGATACAGAGAAAAAAAAAAAAGAATAAACTGCTAGGTCATGAAATCAGAGAAGCATGTTCTTCCAATCAGAAAAGAATACAAACAAACCAGTAACAACAAGCCATAAATCTTCTTGACCTTAGATTAGGCAACAGTTTCTTAGATATATACCAAAACATGAGCAACAAAAGAAAAAACAGATTAAGCTGAACTTTACCAAAATCAGTAACTTGTGCTTTCATGGACATCAAGACAGTCAAAACAGCCCACAAAAGGGATGAAAATATGTGCAATGTCTTCAACCTCAAATGTACAAAAGACTCATAGCTCGTTACGAAAAGCAATTTTAAAAATAAGCAAAGGATCTGACATTTCTCCAACAATGATATATAAATTATCACTCAACACTTGCAACTGATCAGTCACCATTAGCCATCAGGATAATGTACAGCAAAACCATAACAAAGCAGGCTGTAAATACACACACCTGTAATCTTAGCACTTGGGAGGCTGAGGCAGAAGGATTCCGAGTTCAAGGCCAGCCTGGACTACATAGTGAGACTCAGTCTCAAAAGACCCAAAATACAAGCTGGGATTGGGACTGCATGCCTGTAATCCCAGCACTCAGGAGACTGAGGCAGAAGGATTGCTGGGAGTGTTGAAGGCCAGCCTGAAGTACAGGCTGTGTCTCAAAAATAAAAATTAAAAAAATTAAAAATAAGAAAAAAAAACAAAATACAAAAAATAATAAATGACTATTGTGAGAGACATACTGATTAGGGCAGCTATAATGACAAAGACAGAAAATAACAATTTGGGGAAACAGGAATCATCATATACTACACTGCTACCAGCAAGTAAATTTTGAAGCTACTTTGGGAACCAGTTTGTAAGTTTCTGAAATAAACAGAGTTACCATATAACCAAACAATCCCTGTTCTAGGTGATACCCAATAGAAAAGAAAATGCCTAACCACAGAAAAACTTGTACCCAAATAATCCTAGCAACACTATTCTTAACTGCTAGAAAATGGGAACCACCCAAATACCCATCAACCAATGAGTAGATAATGCCCAGAAAATGGCAAACACAGAGTCAGTAGGGGCCTGGACAGAAACAAGATGACTATGAACAGGGATGGGCTTACAAGGTGATGCAAATGCTTCATCAGTTGTAGTGATGGTTACACAATTGTGCAACTGTATTGAGCATGACCAATTTGTACACTGGAGTGAGTGAATTATACATCTCTAAAGCTGTTTGTTATACTTAAAGAAACAAAAGCTACCTAAGCACACTATCTTCTTTGAAAGTTCTTCCTCGTATAGGAGTTCCAACAGAACAAGTAGGTACCTATTATCCCTGCTGTAGAAATAATAATAGAACAAGGGGGAACCTAAGGACTGCAAACTTCTAAAGAAAAGGAATTTTTTTTTCAGCATTTGGCATTTTTTAAAAATAAATTTTATTTTATCCCATTCTCCTCTTTTTTTGGGGTACCAGGGATCGAACTCTGGTCCTTGCACTTGCGAGGCAGGCAGTGGAACCACTGAGCTAAACCCCCAGCCCCCATTCTTTTCCTCAAGCACCCTCTCTTCCCTATGTACAAAAGCTTTGCTTCCATTTTCACCGATTTTCTTGTCCCTTCCTTCTTTTGCTCCCCGTCCCATTTGAGCACTTTCTTCCCATAAGAAAAACAATTTTTTAGAAAGCACAATAACGAAGTCCATAAGGGCTGCGGATTTAGCTCAGTGGTGCCGCCACCTGCCTCACAAGCACAAGGTCCAGGGTTTAATCCCCAGTACCCCCCTCAAAAAAAAAGTCCATAAATAAATATTTTGTGTTGAGAGCCAGGGGATGCAGTATATGTGTGTAATCCCAGTGCTTGGGAAGCTGAGGCAGGAGGATTGCTGCCAGTTTGATGTCAGTCTGGACTACACAGCAAGACTCTAAAAGTCTATAAAAAAATTCTGTGTTGAGAAAAAAAGGAAGTCAATGTATATGCTAAATATTTTCTGCACACATATATTCTAAAGTTACTGCATAAAGCCAGGCATGGTGGTACACACCTGTAATCACAGCACTCAGGAGGCTGAGGGAGGATGATTACCCCAAGTTCAGGCCAGCCTGGACTACATAGTGAGTTCAAGGCCAGCTTGAACTACATAACAAGACTCTACCTCAAACAAAACAAAACACAAATTAATGAAGTTACTGCACGTAAGCCAAACTTCATCTCACATGACTGATAAAGAAGGCCTAACAGTTTTGTTATGATGTTCCTCATTTTTAAAATTGTAGTCTGACCTATACAGCCTTTTGCTAGGAGTGTGTGTGTGTGTGTGTGTGTGTGTACACATGTGGAAAAACATTTTACAAAACTTAATTTGTGGTACTATGTTTTTATCTGAAGATGTATTTTTACCATGCACAGGTGAATTTTCGTCAGCAAACAGATTCGGTTCAATTTCTTTCAAGGAACTTCTACCTTCAAGTCGGGCAAGGAGCTTACAAAAGAAAAGACAAAAGGAAAACTCATTACTTAAAAGCAAAATCTGAGAAATCTACATTTATACAATTTTCCAAAATCTGTAAGACTCATAATTTTGAGGTTTTGGAAGGAAATATGAAGTGAAAAATACAACTGGAGAAATATCATGTTCATTTAGTCTTAAAATATTTCAGTTTTTACGTACCAAATACTGCTATTATAAAGGGAAGGAACAAATAGTCAATTTTAGGATATACTGCATGGCCAAACTGCGAACTGAAAAATAGTTTCCTTCAGTACACCATGTAATTATCTTTCTCAATGTACCACACCTGTTATACAGCTCTCTGCTACAATTTGCCTAACTCTACCTGGAGGGGAAGGGGATAAAGGCACACCTGAACAAGTGGTCTCCGCAGAAAAGTGGAACAGTCAGGTACACAGGGCCCAGCAAGTGGACCAGGCCTGTGAGACAGTCACAGCCGAAGATGTGCGGGCTGTGTGTGCAAACAGTATTGTGTGAGCAAGCTACACACAGATTTGAACTATAAGCACTGTGACATCAAATAGGCAGGAAACAGTGATGTCTACAGAGAGTGGAAGTCAGAGCATGGAAAACCTCAGATGCCCTGGGCAGGGGCTTTGGTTCAGATAAGAGTAAGACTTCTGCTGCTAAGAAACAGGAAGCAGTCTCCTAAAGCTACTGATAGTCAGGACTCCACAGCCTCCCTGCCAGGTCACCTCTGTGGGCCACAGGTGTCTCCTCTGTGATGAAAAGAACAATCTCTCCCACACTGAGACAAAATGTGTTAGAGTGGTACTCAGCATAGAGTTAACTGTGTTAGTATGTATTGTTATTCTCCTCCCTCCCAGCAGATTGTCCTGGTGGCTTTTGAGAGACAGATCTAAGGAGTAAAACTAGTGAAAGAAAGAAGGCTGGAATCTGTCACACTTATCTGGAGGATCAGTGCCTGCACTGCTGCACAGAAGTAGCTGGGATTAACAAGAATGACCAGAAGCAGAAATGGTGATTTAAAGGTCAACAAAGAAAATGTAATCAAAGCTGATTCTTATGTTTCTAGGGCATCAGCACAGATTTGACAACAAATCTATACAACAACAGAAATAAAAATAGAGCATATCACAAACAGCAAGAAAAAACCATTTTTTACTTACTTTTTAAAAAATTGAAGCAAAGGTTGGAGAAGGATTTACTGAAGTGATAAAAAGATTCTACATGTTAATAACTAATACTTGTTGAACTGTATTGTGTATAAGGCAAATACATCAATACCTAAAAATATAAACATACCTACCTGTACTAGATAAGAGACCCAGTTGGAGACAATGACCTGCCCTCACAGAGCTTGCAAGCTAGGTCTAATCCTCTGATACGATTACATTAGGAAACAAGACAAGGCAAAGTCACAGAGTGCTGAGTGCACAGCAGATTCTAAACCATGTCCAGAAAAACGTTTTAAACTATTAAGACAGCGATCACCTTGTTCCCTCAGTTCACATTTCCATGAAGGATAGAAAAGCCAGGGTGGGTGAATCTGCTGGCAGCCAGCAGTCCAGGCCAGGACCCACTGTGTTCTTCACCACCACGTGCTCACCACAGAACTCACCTCCTTTTACCTAAGAATGTTTAGTTTTATGAAATCACAACTTGTAGAAACACTTGTGGAATAGTCCTTGGAATGACATAAGAAGCATCCTGTAGAGTCAATAATTTTCAACCCTGCCCAGGGAGATGTCTGGCCTCTACTCTTGGCTCCCAGCAGGTGATCTGTGAACCCTCCGACTGTCCCACCTGATAAAAGCCATCTTTAGACTTGGACCACAGCATTGAGAAGGGGAAACTCAGCAAGACCTTGACTCAAAATTTTTAAAAAATTCAAAAACAGGGCTGGATATAGCTCAGTATAAATGCCCTTTATAGAATGTTTCAATCTCCAGTAATGCAAAAAAAAAAAAAAAAAGCTATGTAAGAGCTGTAACAGAAACACATATGGGGCCAGGCATGGTAGTGCATACCTATCTATAATCCCTGCACTCAGGAGGCCGAGCCAGGAGGATTTCACTGAGTTCAAGACAAGCCTGAACTACACAGTAAGACCCTGTCTCAAAAAACAAAAAGAAGAAGAAAAAAAGAAATATACATGGGGAACTGTAGTTCTGTGTGAGAGGCATCTTTAATTTTGAGTGAGATTCAGCACATATTGTAGTTTTTTTCAGGCACAAACAATAGTCTGCAATTACGCAGTTTCCAAAGGTCTACCAAGGTCCAAAATTTTGAACAGAAAATTCTAGTAATAAAAACAATTTATTCATTTTATTTATTTATTTTTTGTGTGTGTGGTACCAGGGATCAAACTTGGATCCTTGCACTTAACAATTTATACATCTTAAATTGTGCATTGTTCTAAGCAATGTGATGAAATCTTACTCTGTCCTGCCCAGGGTGCAGCAGGCATGAATCCCTTCCAGTGCAGTCAGTTTGCCTTGCCTTCCCATCTAGTCACGTGGCAACTGTCTCAGTCACCAGATGAACTGTCACAAAGTCATAGCACAAGAATCAGGTGAGCCTTATTGTACTTAGTAAATGGCCCCCAACCCCAAGAGTACTGAGTCTGGCAATTTGGATATGCCAAGAGAAGCAACAGTATGTGTCCTTTAAGGGAAAAGGGAAAAGTTCTTGACTTAATAAAGATAGGAAAAATATATGATGAGGCCGCTACAACTTATGATAATGAAATTTCTAGCTTCTTGACATTATCAAAAAGGAGAAAGAAACCTGTCCTATTTTTGCTGTTGCACCTCAAAGAAGAAGTTATACCCAAAGTACATAATAAAGTGTTTAGTTATGATGGAAATGGCATAAATTAATGTATGTATATATGTAGAAAAAAGGGTTCTATATTGTGCGTGATTTCAGGCATCCAATGGGGACTCTAGAACATATCTCCCATGGAGAGAGAGGATTACTGTACTGTACAAAATTCAAGTTGTAGTGAAATGCCTTTTTTCCTTCTATCTTGAATGTCCTTACCCTATTCCCTCAATTAAATTTTCTAAGGCCTATACCACTGAGTGAAGCTTCTATGCATTCTTCAAGGACACTTTCTTCTATAAGCTATTTCAACATTTAAGAACACATTACCAGCCTGTCTTCCTCATCTGGATGTAAACACTTAAAAGGAAAGAAATCTTGGCTCTCCAAGTCCAAAACACAATGCTTCATGCTTGGTAATTAGCAGCTGTCTGTAAAATTAAGACAAACAGGCAAATAGAACAAGGTAAAGAATGAAGAGTTTAAAGGACTTCAAACTATTCAGACTTTCATGTTTGGATAATCTACACAAAGCTGTATTAAAAGTCTAGTTGTGTTCTTTAAGTTATCATGAAGCTTCTTAATAACTGCTAACAAAATCAGTGTCAGACCCCAGCCCAGGCAGAAGAGAAAAACTTCCCAGGCAATGCAGTCACACATCTTGCAAGGCACATAACAGGAAGCTAAGGCCTGGGTTCGAGATAAACAGCCTACCCCCAGGCAACATCTGCAAGAGCAGATACCCCTGGAGACCACCAGATTTCCTCTGCCCCAGAACAAAAGACTTTCTCCACTCCAAGACAAAATTCTCCACTCCTCATGGCACCTCCCCTACCCAAACTCACCTATGAAGTTTCCTCTTGCCCAAATCCCCAGAGATCAACAACTTCGTCACACTTGACTAGCCTGCACTCAGGCTGGAAATAAAACCTCTCTTGTTGCTTCATTTTTTCCTGCTCTGGTGGTCAGTTGTGCCTTGGTTTGCCAACAACTAGGACACCTTTGATGCCTGCTGAGTAGAATACATATCATAAAGGTATCACTTAGTCATGGCAAAGCTTAGACAAAAGCAGGATGAGCACTGAAAATTAAGGCTCATCCCCTCTCTGAGGCTCTTTGTGATTAAATGTTTGCAGACAGGCTCCAGTAAAAGGATTCATGTAAGTTGAAGTAGTATAAAAGGATACCTAGAAGCAAACACCTGGCTGGGGTGCTGCAGCTCAGGGAGAGAGTGCCTCCTAAGCACATGCAACGCCCTTGGTACAGTGCTCTGGGTTTCACTCCCTGTACAACACAGAAAACAAACATCCTAAACAGAATATTCTCAACCTTACCCTATAAGAACTCCATTTCCTTTATGAGTTGACTACAATTCAATTTACTACTGATACATAACTTATTAGTGATATGTAAAAGAATTTCACTTAAGGCAAAAGTTGTAACTTGTAACACAGGGTAAGAAAGCAACTAGAATTAATAGAAAAGTAAGGCAAAGAAGCCATTGCCACAATACGTATGTGAGAAATACAGAGTTTAGAACTTACCACAAATACTCCTCAAAATACCCTAAACAACCACTGTGGAAATCAGTGCGGAGATTCCTCAAAAAACTAAAACTAGAGGTCCCATTTGATACACCTATTCCCCTTCTTAGTCTCTTCCTGAAAGAATTAAAAGTATACCACAGCGATATATGCACACTCATGTTTATAGCAGCACAGTTTGTAATAGCTAAATCTTGGAAACAGCCCAAATACCCGTCAACCAATGAATGGATAAGGAAAATGTGGTGGTTTTTTATACAATGGAGTACTACTTTGCCATAAGATGAGCTTCAGACGTTTTAGCTAAATGAATGTACCTTGAGACCATACTGTTTAATGAAATAAATTGGATACACATGTTTAAATACTATACTGTGTCTCTGGTGTAAGATACTGAAAGTGGAAATAAGGACTAAAATGTATAATAGATATTATGAAGTGGAAAGAAAACATTCAAATGTGAAGGGGAACAAGGGAGAAAGGAAAGAGACAAAAAAAGAAGGAAAAAATAGAAACAAAGTTTTTGTAAATAAGGAGAGAAAGAAGGGTTGAAGGGAGAGAAAAGGTTATGAGGAAAAAGCAACAGCAAGTTATATCACATACAGTTACAAATTCCCTATGATGAATGTTACCGTGTAT